CGGCTTGTTTCCGTTGTGTTGTGCTAATTTGTGTTGTGGTTTTTTTCTGTTGCGTTGCAGCTCTTTTCCGTTGTGTTGTGCTAATTTCGTTGTGTTGTGGCTTGTTACCGTTGTGTTGTGCTAATTTGTGTTGTGGCTTGTTTCTGTTGCGTTGCAGCTTGTTTCCATTGTGCTGTGCTAATTTAGTTGTGTTGCGGCTTGTTTCTGATGTGCTAATTTCGCTGTGTTGCAGCTTGTTTCTGTTGTGTTGTGCTAATTTAATTGTGTTGCTCCTTGTTTCCGTTGTGTTGTGCTAATTTCGTTGTGTTGCAGCTTGTTTCCATTGTGTTGTGACTTGTTTTCATTGTGTTTCGGCTTGTTTCCATTGTGTTGTGCTAGTTTCGTTGTGTTGCAGCTTGTTTCCGTTGTGTTGTGCTAATTTGTATTGTGGCTTGTTTCTGTTGCATTGCAGCTTGATTCCTATGTTTTTTGCTATTTTCGTTGTGTTGCGGCTTATTTCCATTGTGTTGTGCTAATTTCATTGTGTTGCGGCTTGTTTCTTTTGTGTTGTGGAAATTTTGTTGTGTTGTGCACTACTGGGTCACCATAGTGCTTTACACCAACAATTCTCAAGTTGAGAACTGCACTGCATATTGCTTGTCCTCACATGCGCTAACAGGTAGACAAAAATCTGATATATTTTCTACTACAACCTAAATTATAGAGTAAATTAGATTTGATAATAATTGCAGTGATATAAAGAGATGTAAAACAAAACTGGTGGCAACCAAGTTAGAAAGCTAGTAACAGTTGTTTGAAATATAATTACAACGGTAACAATGTCAAACGATCAAATTAATGCCACTATTACAATTAAATTAACAGCCAAAATATATTGCGCACATAAAATAAACAGGAAAAAATCTATTAAAGGAGTTCAAATGAAACATAAAATGATAAATATGTGCTATGGGATCATTTTTGTTGTGTAATAGCCCACACAATAATGCAAGACAACTTAATTTCAAACTTTTAAATTATTTATTTATTTTTCAAATATATTATCTAAAAGTTATCTAAGCGTTATTTATATTCCTCTATTCAAATATTATCTTTAATTTTGTGGAGCCACTCGACTTTCTCACAGTTTCTCAAATTAAAGGTGTCATATGATGCAATTTCAATTTTTCCTTGAGGACTGTTTCCTGAACCAGTAGCCTACAATGCTTCTGTGGCACAAAGGCTGTTTCTATAAAGTGGGCAATTCCAACTTTGCAAGGACAGTCTGGCGCTTCTGACTCACAGCCTGTAAGTACGTATTTTATATTTATATTTATTTATTTATATTTTATATTAAACACATTGCATTACACCAAATACACAAAATAACGTTCTTTTTAGCAACATCATATGACCCCTTTAAAGGTAAAGTTTTCAGTCATTGCACATGATAAGCTGCCTGAAATGTCGATAAAGGACATCTGGCTTTCAATCCGTTATCATTTATCATGGGTCACAAACTCTTCATTAGGTGACCTTATGTATTATGGCATTATGTAAGGCCAAAATTGTTCATTAGGCTATTCATACAAAAATATCTGACTCTATATTGCCTCTGTATAGAGTATGACATCATCATTATGTATAATGTCTAGCCTAATACTTATATATTAGTTTGCCAAGTTTACAGAATTAACTTTGACCATAATGTTGCTTGGAAACCATGAACAGCCTACGGTTAAGCTAAATGATTACTATTAATAAATAGAACAGAACATTAGTCTTATATAATACTGCTGTTACTGCAATTTTTTAAAAGCTTTCAGTGTGCATAACAACATCTGGTAACTATAGAGTAAAATCACTGTAAGGCATTTATTATTAAATTATATTATTAATAGATTACAAAACTGAAATCTTTTTTTTTGCAGTTTAATTATTAATATTGCTGCCTCTTCTCCAAAAACCAAGAAATATCCAAACTAAACCGGCCCTTTATGATAGACAGTACACTAATGCAACAGTCCAATCCCTGAGCACAAAGCAAGCCCTCTTCATGATATGGGCAGAAGACATTTTGAAAATTGCTTTGAAGGAAGTCCTTGTATTTTGTGCTATACTACAGAAGAAGAAAGAGCATCACATCTAGAAAGCATCCTTTATAGGCACTCCTGTTTTCTAGTGTCATTTTATAAATGCTGCGGGTCAGCCGGCTTTAGTCGCCCTCGGAGAGTGTTGAGAGGGTCTACCTGTGGCAGGGTCCACGTCACGCTCGATCAAGTGCTGATCCTGGTGAACCCATTCGCCGTTGCACTTGAAGTAGATCTGAGTGGCAGGGGTCGAGCGGCAGGTGAGAGTCACTGGCTTGTTCTTAACGATATAAACATCATCAGGCTCCACCAGGAAGTGTGGCAGCAGGTCGGAGAAAGCCGCAGGAAGTGGATGTGTTACAGTGGCCGCGTGCTCTCCACCTGTGCAAGCAAGTGAGATAAAAATTTAGGGACAGGTTGTGGTTGTTCAGATGCCTGAAACCTTTTAGTAGTGCAAAGAGATAATGAGTGTATCTGATTTAATTTCAAACTGTGAGTGGACAGATTGCTTTTGACATGCACCTGAGTGCAATACTAATTTTGTGCATCCGTATTTGGTAGAATACAGATATTCTGCCAACCACAGCTGACACAACGTCTCTGCTAAGCAAGTCTGGGAGATCATACTAATGGCGTGGTGTTAAAAGTGCGTGCTTTTGCCTGAGTGATGTGGGATTGTACTGATGGGGGTGTACTGACTTGACTAGGTTTAAATAAATATTGTAAGCAACTTATGTCACAATGAGAAACTGATCTAAAATGTTCAATAACTGCACATTAAATTACGAGAAATAAATACTTAAAACGTTTCAACAATTAAAAGTGTTGATACCAAATTCACTGGGATAAATACACATAAATGCAAGCCTCATTCAGTCTACTTGCACAGTGATTTGTGTGAGCTATCATTCTTTCATTTTTTTTCATCTTTTCATTTCTTATTTGTGAACTTCATCCTTACACCTGCCAGAACACTCTTGAATGTAAAGTTTTCAAGTGTTTAAAAATATAACAAATAGTTTTAATACACTTCAAATTTAAGTCGACATGAAAACATGCATTTTTTATTTGAGATGGTAATGAGTAAAAGTAATTACAGGAATTTGAAAATAAACCTTTTATTTACCATTCCAACTAAAAACTTATAGTAGTTTACAGATATTATTGAAGCTTTAACAGTAATTTTTGTTAAAATCACAAAGTAGACAGTTTTTCATAAATGAGACTCTAATCCAGTACACTGTTTCTGTTTGCTTCGCTTTGACTCCAACATTCTGAAGAAAATAATATCAATAACATTTTTAGCATGTAAAAAAAAATATTACATTTAATCATATTTTAACCTGGAGTCTCTGAGAACTCTTATTCCAAACATACATAACCAAACATAACTTTTATTTTATTATTATTATTTTTTTTTAAATGAAGGACATGATGGAATAGTTTGTAATCAAATCAAACGATCAACCTGTCTTTTGATTTAGATTTTAAAAAAGACCTTGTAATATCTTGATTTAAATATGTATTTAGATTTAAAAATGATTAGTTAATTTCTGTCAATTTCAAGACAAAATGCAGTTGTTATGGGCTTAGAACAGATTTAAGAGCCCCTGAATAGGGTCTTATTATATTATATTACAATCAAATTAATAGCCAAAACCTATTGAGCAAATAAAATAAACAGAAAAATTTTAATTTTAATTAAAAAGATTAAAACTTAAAATTAAATACACACACACACACACACACACACACACGTGTGAGTTTGTAACAAGAAAATTGCTTCTGTTTGCTTCAATTTGACTAGCAAAAAAATAAAATAAATAAATAAATCACATTTTAGTATGTAAAAAAATCATTATGTTTAATATTATTTTTACGCCTGGAGTTCCTGGGATCCCAAATAGTCATAACTTTTTTATGAAGGACAAATGATTAAATACATTAGTTTATAATTCTCACAAGATAAAAAAGAAAAAAAAAACATTTGAGATATTAAAAAGGCATTGTAGTCTCTCAGATTTAAATATATATTTATTTAAATAATTAGAATTAAATATCAGTCAATTTCAAGACAAAATACAGTTGTTAAAAAAATAGGTTCAAGAGCCCCTGAATAAGGTCTTATTCCATCCTGAAAGAGACATATGCTACTATCTTCCACCCCCCACAGAAAAACAATGTGTGTGTGTGTGTAAGAAAGAGTGAGTCCCCTTGTTAACAGGCCGAGTAAAAAGCTTCTGAGTGGTATGGCCTTGTCAGGTTTGCCTACAGCAGTGCCGCATCCCATCTCTACTCTCTCTGCTGTTAATCACAGCCTTTTAAGATCAGAGCTGATGGACTGCAGGCCATAAATCCCTCTTGCTGAATGACCACGGCACTTCAAAACACGCTCGGCAGGCCCTGTATCCAGGGCTTTAACTCAACTCTTTATTACGCCCAGGCCGAACATGGTGACGTGACTGCCAGCCATTCAATGACTGACAAACGCCGTTGCAAATAGGCTGCATTAAACGTGAGGCGAACTGGCTCTTTATTTCGACGACCCCCGGTAGCGCAGCGAGATCAGGTGGGGTGCGCGGCGCTGTTTACGGATCAAAGATCTGAGTGACTTTGTGGGCGGAAATGTTTCTCCCCCGCGTAGATTTATGGAAGGAGCGCCGAGGCGGCTGGATTCATAAATGTTTGGAGAGATTCAATGAGAAATCATCATTAATCAGAGCTTGGCCCTGCGACTTGCGGGAGAACGATTCTTTAGTGCGGCGCGGAAATGGAGCGCACCCTATCAGTAATTTTGTTGCTTCATTTGTTAGCTGCAATGTTTTTCTGGTCTTTGTAATTAAGAATGAATTGCTAATTTATCCTTTTCCTCCCACAATCCAGAGCAATCAAGCAGCCTCGGCTAGCTGTTTATTCCCTCTCCATGCTGGAGGTCCCACACCATTGTGCATCATACACAAACACACACACACTACATGTCTGATAGCCTTCAGGACTGAACTCAATTTTTAAAGTGATCAATTTTGCCAATTAGTTATTCCCTCAGCATGTTTCTCATTACAGAGTTTTGCTCTGTTTTTAGACACTTGTTGAGTGCCAATATAACGTCAAAGCCATGAAGCATAACTTGCTCGCATATAATGTAGACTAAAATTCCAACAACTTCAATCTTGATTTCATCAGAATTGAACAATGGGATGCTTGTGCAGGTGCAAAACACTAAACAGGTTTGGAAAAAAGCCAGTTCAGGGTGCGAATGACATTAAATTATATTAGATTGGAAGTTAAGAGTGTGTATTTTCATCTGCAAAAATTATAGATAGAAACTTCCTCAAAGTCAGCGCATTATTTACACACTGAGCCAAATTTGCTGTAAGTGATGTCAGGCATTCAACCATTTTTGCCGACTTCATTTTATTATTAATTATGTATTCTTATGTACTATTTATGAATATTTGTATTTTCAGTTAGCTTTTATTTTTATATTTTAGTAATGTGCTATTGTCATGACATTTAAAAAAATCTGTTTTGTTTTTATTTCAGTTTTAGTTTTAAGAATTTAAGCACTTCAGCTTTTTATTTCAGTTAGTTACGCAACATTTCTAATTAAAATTTTTGTTCATTTATAAGTTTTTCATCTCATCAAATTTCTTTTTTTGTTGTATTTCAGCTTTAAAATAAAATGAGCAGCATAACTGTTTCCAAAGAATGATTTCTGAAGGATCATGTGACACTGAAGACTGGTGTAATGGCTGATGAAAATTCAGCTTTGCATCACAGGAATAAGTTATATTTTAAAGTACATTAATATAGAAAACCGTTATATTAAATTGCAATAATGTTTCACAATATTACAGTTTTTTCTGTATTTTTGATCAAAGAAATGCAGCCTTGATCAGCATAAGAAACTTCTTTAAAAAATATAAAAAATACTATATAATAAAATACTATACTAATTACTGATCCCAAACCTTTGAACAGTGTGTATGTGTGTGTGTGTGTGCATATATACACACAATATATATATAAATGAAATCAAGCTGCTTGACATGTCGACACAAACATCTGTATACACAAACATACACACAAAAATAACATCTTCAAACAACTATACACCTCCTAATAGAATGGAGGTCACAATCACATAATTAAGCAAACTTTTCTGGACTGTGATATTAATTCACAAAGTAATAGAAGACTGGCTGTTAAAGACATTTTCTATCACAACGGGCCTGTGGAACAGAACGCAAAAAGCACATCTCTGCTAATGAAACCACAAGGCTAGCGCTGACCTTTCCAGCACCTTCCTCATCTCCTCCTGCAGAAAACCACAACCACGCAGGTAACATTAGCCAAAGTAATAAACATCAAGCCTCCATGCCAAGACATTACCCAGCCTCGCCAGGCCTGGTGCAACATGTCATAATAATGCTGCTCTGCTCATTTCCTTTTGTCATTTTGCGTGGTGTGCTGAGTTGCTAATTCATCAGGGCGAAATACAGTGAGAAGCAAAGCTACGGCTATTGAACCTCCATTAATGTATCGTGTACGTGTTAAACTCTTAATAAAAACTAAATGTTCTGTGTCCAATGAAGGACATACATCACTTTCCAGTTTCACCCCCCCTCTCTGCTACATTACATTCTGTGCTACGACAGACAAGTAATTTATCTTACGGGGACATTCATTTATTAAAAACATGCTCAAATGTATCGGGAATTCAAGCCGTTCTGTTGCAAGCAGAGGATGATGCAATCAAGGCAATTACTGCAGGTCAAAATGGCTTTCTTTGTTCTGATGTAAGACCGAGCGCCCACGGGATGTGGTCCATCTAATGAGCCTTAATTTGGCACAGTGATGATGGCCATTAGCTCCTCATTGTGACCTTTTCTATAACATGAGAGCTCGGTAAACCAGCAGGCAGACCTGGCCCAATCTGTCCAGGTGGGATCTATGTAAGGCTGAGGTGAGATACCACAATCATAAATGAGCTTTCAAACTGTTCGTGACCGTCTACATCTGTTTTCCTGACCAGTCTCAAAGGTTACAGGCTATGTTGGACGTAATAGAGATAAATTCATTTTTGTTCGGTATTTCGAAGTATTGCAATATGTTATTCTCACTATACTGAATTGATATTCTCACTGCAATAGTCCATCTTTTTCCTCATAATTTATTTATTTATTTAGACACTGACTGCTAACCAAGGCGCACTATTCCCATGGTGCAATTTTTAGGCTATATTTTTGGCCTTGCTGCCTTTATTATCAAGTCAAGTCTGCTTTATTGTCAAGTACAAAAACACTGCGACTCACAAGACAAAAAACACGAAAACACCTTTCTGTCGGGAGAGAGAGAAGCCACAGCGTGTGAACGCGCCG